GATGAGAGAAAATCAATTGGATTTCTTCAGGCTTTAGTGTTTTGTTACTGCAGAGATAAGGACACCACTTCATCTTCCAGAGATTCATGGGTTCATAACTATACCATTTACACCACAAGCTGTTTGTCCACCTGTGAGTCAATCACATAAGTGGTAGTTGGTAGGAGCTTTTTCATTGAAAACTGATCATTACTCCACAGATCAATCAGCTACATAGTGCCAACTGAATCTTACCTTACGCACATCCACGTTGCCAGGTTTTCTACAACCAAACTTTCTGCACTGGTTGAACAAGCAACAGTTGAAACAATTCCTTCAATAATTGCTAGCTTTTAAAAGGTGTAGCAATTCCTTCCATAGTCCTTGTTGTTTAAAAAAAAAACACAGTTTGTTTCCAATTTCAGTCCAGAATCAAAAATTCAAAGTAAAGGAACAATTTTTACAATTGGACAAGAGAGACCAAAATAAATACAGGCCCTTAAAGAAAGAGCATGGAGAAATAATGGGGAACTGGGGAATATAAGGGGTATTGAAAAAAATACTTGACATCAGTCTTCACAGTGGAGGACGCTAATGTCATTTGGAAATTATAAAATAATCAAGTGGCCAAGGGATGGGGGAATAAATGATAACAATAAATATCACTAAAGGGACAAAAAGTACTAGGGGAACTAACAGGGCCAAAGGCTGATAGGTTCCCCAACCTGATGATGTGCATCCTGGGAAATAGCTGTGGACATCATGGATTCTCAGATTCTGGAGGAGTCCCAGAGAACTGGGAATGAGCCAATGTTACACTTTTGTTCAGAAAGGGAAAGAAACAAAAAAAAACACAAATAAGCCAGTTAGCTTAACATCTGCTATTGAGAAAACAAAACTTCAAGTCTATTTTAAGGGATGTAATAGAGTGTAAAGGATGCATTTAGAAATGCCTACTGTAATCAAGCAGAGTCAAGGTAGCTTCATGAAGAGGAATGATCCCTGACAAATATTTGGCGAGAGACCAGTAGATAAAGGTGAACCAGTAGATGAAATATCTTTGGACTTCTAAAAGCAGTTTGTAAAGTGGCGCACTTAAGGCTACTTAATAAGGTAAGACCCCACAGTGTTGGGAATAGTATATTAGCATTGATAGAGGATTGGCTAACTAATAAAAGATAATGTTGGGATAAACAGGACATTTTCAGGATGGCTACCTGTCATTCATGGAGTGCCACAGGGATCAATGCTGAGACTGCATTTATTTGCAGCATAACTGCACCTTCTAAACCTACAACCACTTCCATCTGGAAGAACAAGAGCAGCGGACACACGGGAAATAAATCACCCGAAAGTTCCCCTCCAAGCCACTCACCATCCTGACTTGGAAATACATCTCCATTTCTTCAGTGTCCTGGGGTCAAAATCCTGGAATTCCTCCCTAAAGGCAATGTGGATATCCTTACAGAACAAGGACTGCAGCAGTTCAAGCAGGCAGATCGCCACCACCTTCTCAAGGGCAATAAGAATGGGTTACAAATACTGGCTCTGCCAGCATGCCCACGTGCCATGAATGAGCATTTTAAAAAAAATTGGATGATGGAAATAAGTGAACATTCACCGTTTGCAGATGACATAAAAATAGATGAACAGGCAATTAGTGAGAATAACGCGAGAAGGAATATTGGTGATGTGATCAGATATAACCTTGGCAGATCTAATATAATGTGGGAAAAATTTGAGGTTATTCACTTTGGTAGGAAGACTATTACTGAGATGGAGGAACACTGTGGATAGCTGCAGCACAGACAGATGTTGGAGTCCTTCTGCATGAATCACAAAAAAGCTAGTATTCAAGTTCACCAGGTAATAAGGAAGACTAATGATCTCTTGAGGGCATTGAATATAAAATTAGGATAGTCTTGCTAAAACTGTACAAGATACTAGTCAGACTACACCTGTAATGCTGAGAAGAGTTTGGTCCCCTTACCTAACAGAAGATATACCAGCAGTGGAGATAGTTCAGAGAAGGGTCATTAGCCTGATCCAAGCCATGGAGAGATTTTCTAGTGAAGAGGCATTCAGCATGTCAGGCTTGCGTTCAGTGACCATATTGATTATAAAATTCCTAGTAGGCTAAACAGGTCAGATGCAGAGAGGTAGGTTCCCCTTGTGTGGGAGTTGAGGACCAGAGGGCATAATCTCAGGCTAAAGGGTCGCCTATTTAAAGCAGAGATGAGGAAGACTCTTTTCTCAGATCTGTGGAATTCTTTACTGTAGAGAGCTGTAAAGGCTTGGTCATCAAGTATGTTCATGGCCACAATAGACAGGTTTGTAAAAAGAGAGTTAAGGGTTATGGGTAAAGGCAGGGAAATAGAGTTGGAGTTTATTTGGTTAGTCTGTGATTAGCTGTGAATCTGATTAGCTGTGATCTACTTCAATGACAGAGCAGAATTAATGGATGGAATGGCCTATTTCTGCCACTAAGTCTTATGACTTTGAAGGGCATGAATAAACCAGATGGGTTTTTATGACATGGCCACCATTCGACTAGATTTAATTCCAGATTTTACTGAATTCAAATTGCACCATCTGCTGTGGTCTAACTAATCCTATGTCCCTGGAACACTAGCCTGGGGCTCTAGATTACTAATCCAGTGATGTGACCACTATATCACTATACCTTCCTTTGACTTTTCCATTGACTATCAAGTAAAATGTATTCAGTATTCATGCATATAATGAGCCTCAGGAAAATCAGAAAAATGAGACAAACATCAGGTTCAGGTGAAGGTCTTGTCTCCTCTGCAGTTGGCAGATTGAGGAAGGCAAGAAAGGTGATTGATAATCATTGCAAAGGCTTGCCAAATTTGAAGAAATCTTAAGAGGCAATCGTGTTTCAGCTGTTCCCTGAGTCTTGCAGCTGCCCATGCCTGAAGTGCAATACTGTAATCAATTTGCTTTCACTTCATGGCTGTTAAACAAATTGTCGGAGAACAGTGTAACCTTCTCATCTGGGTCACATGGAACATTTATTTAATATAGGTTGCCATGTTGCTGCTTGTGGATGAGTAGTCTGATAATGTTTCCTGTAATATGATTATAATGAGAGTGCTTGTTTTTATCAGGTTGCAAAAAAAAGTGACTTCCTTAGCGCAGCATCGGGAGCAACATTACAGATGAAATGACTTTTTATTAATAGAAAGAGATATGTAAAGCTTAGAAATTATAACAACCCAAATTTACCAGGGGCAATAACCAAATATTATTCAAGCTTGAAGGCGTTCAAATTAGGCTGTTTGATATTGGTGTGCAAACACTCAATGCACTCACATAGACTGCCTTTCTATTTTAAGGCACACATCAACACATATAAAATGAAAGGTCAACATTGTTGTTAAAATAATGAATAAAGGAGTTTGATATTCTGTTTCGAGAGACTTGCTCCAGATATTTTGTTCCTGCTTGGTGCCAAATACTCTTATAAACAAATTCTCACTCTTAAAGAATTGGAGTGTGAGTTGATGCATGCAGTATTGGCTAAACAGAGTTTCCCATGGTTTGAACTGAAATCCTTCTTACAGTAATAGATGTCTGACTCAATAAGAGCCCTCCTGGACATTTTGCATGTCAGAATAGCACCATTAGACTATGAAACTGAGACAACGAACTCTAATTTTGATTATTTTAATATGAAAGTTCAAGGACAAAATCAATGAGGCAGGTCTCCCTTGATTATGGACCATTTAAATCGTGTCTCCTAATAGGCAAAATAAAAATGAAAACTTAAATAGCTCTCAGTAATGTCATTGTCCATCAAAAAGTTATTTAGCAGTTTAGTTTTGTTGCCTTTAATGTTTACACATTCATCTTTCTCATAATGGCTCCAGAAAATGATAACAATGAGGGAAAAGATTAGTTAGTATGTGTCATTGCCTGGCTCAAAGCTATAAGTCAGTCCCATTACCCCCATCCCCACCTTAGTCATGTCATCCTGAAGGTTGACTTTTGCATTATAAGCAGGGCTGCTTGAATCCCAATTTCATGAGCCTTTGTCGTTGCAACAAAGACACAATAGCACTTGGCTGGCTGACAGCATGATAACAGATGTCAGATTCAGATCCATGAATTTCTTTACAAATGAAGAAAAAGTCCTACAATAAATAGATGTGAATAATTTCTGACCAAACACAGTTAACACTTCTGTTCAAACAGGAAGCAAATGAATACCTTTGTTAAAAAAGCAAGCAAAAATGTTTTACATGCTGCTATTTAAAGGCTAATTTCAAGAAGTGAGTTTTGGAAAGTACCCTTTATAGGATAGTCTGTTAGCTTTTGACATTTTAATTTATCGAATTTAGTTTACTGCCACATCGAGGAATGTCATTTCAGTTTTCCTGCTGATTGTGATTGTCCAGTTTCACAACTTTAAGATACCTCATGTGGAATCTGCTTGAAGACATGAGCCTTTACATTACATTGCTTTAAATAATCCCTTCCAGCTTAACTAGATTTAGATATGAATTTTATAGCTATCATAGTGCCAGGTGGGATTTGAATTGAGACCTATTTTCCTTGGGGTAGGAACACTACCACTGCAACACAAGATCCTATCCTCCTTAGTTTTGTTCTTACAGTCAGGTGCAAGGCTTTGATCGTGTGACCTGCTCTCACATTGACTGAAACCTAACAGCCAGCTCCAATGCTTTTCATGAAGTGTCAGAGTGTGTGAAGTTATAATCTCAAATATGAAATTGCTTTCATTCTGTGAAACTTGCAACATTCTCCCTACTTGTTTTTATGCATTGCTATGTTCTTTGTCTTTTTTGCAGAGATGTGTTTCAATCAATAATTCATTTTTTTTAACCAAAACAGTCAGTGCAATGTACAGAATAGAGCTTACTTTGAGATGACTGCTCTGCAATGCAAACTGCTCATTTTACCTTGATCTACTTTATGTCTAATTCAACCAAGTTCTGGCCACTGACATTGTGCTTTTGGTTCTCTTTTCTTTTTCACAGTTTTGCCAAGTCACACATGTGGCAATCCGGGTGTCATACAGAAAGGAATCCTACACGGTTCCAGATTTAACATTGGGGATAAAATTCGCTACACTTGCGTCACAGGTTATATCCTGGAAGGTCACGCAATACTGACGTGTATTGTTAGCCCAGGAAATGGAGCATCATGGGACTTTCCGCCACCTTTTTGCAGAGGTAATTTTATAGCAATCACACATTGAAGCAAAATCCATAAAGGTGTACACATGCACTGTTAAGAGCTGTTGTGTGTTTAAAATGTGAATGCAAATAATTTACATTCTGATTTGAATTCCCTGGCCAGTGGGGGCGGGAGGGTGATTTCAAATTTACATTATTGGGTTCCAAGACATTTTAATGTGTTATGTTTCTTGTGTTTAAGCCATTTGCCAGTATTACAGTTGAGGTGTTTTTGCATCCCTGTGAAACAATAGAATTCAGACACTGAGGTACAATGCCTTTCTTTTCGACATTGTGAGTGAAAGGTCTAATTGCTATCATGTTCGAATCACATGTAAGTACCAATGGAAGAGGTGTAAACCTCTATGTTGATGTTCAGAGCTTTATACAGAAAACCCATTTGAAATTTAATCAGGTGTAGAGCTGGATCAACACAGCAGGCCCGAAACGTCAGCCTTCCTGCTCCTCTGATGCTGCTTGGCCTGCTGTGTTCATCCAGCTCTACACCTTGTTATCTCAGATTCTCCAGCATCTGCAGTTCCTACTATCTCTGAAATTTAATCATCTTTGATGCTGAACAAAAAGTTGAAATCAAGCCCAAGCTTTTGTAATTTTGACAAAAGAACATATTGTCCTTCTGTTTTGTATCACTCCTTTTATTCATGGTTTTCATCAACTATTTTAGATTCTGGCTGTTCCTTTATTGACTGGTAATTTTTGATATGGTTTGATTCCCTTGTGCTTCACAGTTACTTGCTGTTTCTCTGTCCCATTCATTGCTTTCTCCGCTTCCATGCTGTTCAATCCTGTCCATTTTGATGCTTCTACAGTTTTGCTCTTTCTCTACAGTTGCTTGTATTTTTCACAGCCTCCCTGCTGTTGTATCAGGATTAGCAACTCCTGTAGAGAAGTTAGCACTATCTTTAATGGAGATCTATTTTTGACTGTGGAAAAGAAAGTTTCACTATGGCTTTTTCTTTACTTCCATTTAGATCAAATACATATGTATTTGGGGACAACATGGTGGGTCAGTGGTTAGCACTGCTGCCTCACAGCACCAGGGACCCGCTTTCGATCCCAGCCTTGGGCAACTATCTGCATGGAGTTTGCACATTCTCCCCACATATGCGTGGATTTCTGCCAGGTCCTCTGGTTTCCTCCCACAGTCCAAAGATATGCAAGTTAGGTGGATTGGCCTTGCTAAATTACATATAGCATTCAGGGATGTGTAGGTTAGGTGCATTAGCCAAAGGAAATGCAGGTTACAGGGATAGCGTAGGGGGAATGTATCTGGGTGGGATGCTCTTCAGAGAGTCAGCATGGGCTTGCTGGGCTAAATGGCCTGTTTCCACACTGTGGGGACTATATATTAAAAAAACCTCAGTTTACTGCACAATCTCATGTATCACCATGAAGAAAATCATTGAAACCATATGGCAACAGGTGTTAATCTCAATTATAGTCTAAAGGTAGTACAAATAGGACACAGTGGAGCAGAAGAATGGACACAGATCAATTTTGACTGGTGTCTGCCCATTTGATATGTTTATTTGAAATTCTGATGGAAAATGTGACAGGTGTTGGTCGCTTCTCCCGAAACCTGTCAGGGATTTCAGAATCAAATATGAAAATTGGAATGCCCAGCCTAGGGACTGATAAGTAACTAGAACTGATACAAAGGATAAACAAATATGAAAGTTTTTTTTTAAGCTACTTTCTGGAATATTCTCCTCTGGTTCTCATGGATCTTTAGACCACTTTTCTTCCCCAAGACCTGGATTTTACAGCATTCCCCACACCAATATGTTGGAAGATGGGTTTGGGGAGAGAGAGGAGAGGTGTTGGCAGTATGAGAAATTCATAAGTTGCAATAAATGACTTGCTGCCTCCTTACAGCTCATCCCTGATCTGTCCCCCGTTTCTTGTTGGCATGCTACAGTGTTACCCATGGAAATGTTGGCACAGAGCTGCAAGAATCATGGGGAGTGAATGGTTGCATGGACTAGACATTTCAAAACTGGCTAGTCCTAAGTTGCATTCTGTATTGCATTCCAACATTTGTTACTCTGTTTTCTTTAAAATCTCTCTTTCTTTCAAACCTTAGACATGGGACATGTGTTTGTAGAGATGTAAGACGACAAGTCTCCACTTGGGCCTATCTCGGCCTGCCCTGTTATTTTACCCCTGAGAAAGGGAGACACATGCCTAGTGTAAGCTATACCCTCCCCCATCTCATGTTATAAGTGTATTAAACCACCCCACCCTGGCCTCTCAGTCCTGACCTCCACCCCACTTTGCTGGGGTTTGCCAGTTGAGGTTTGAAATCCACGTCCATGACCTTTAAAAAGCATCTGGATGTATATATGAATAGGAAGGGTTTAGAGGGATATGGGCCAAATACTGACAAATGGGACTTGGTTAGATTGGGACATCCGGTCAGTGCAGACGAGTTGGGCCAAGCGATTGTTTCTGTGCTGTATGACGCTATGACCTCATCTTGGCTGGGGACTGCCTGACTGGCAAGCAATTTTCTAAGTTGGGGCTTCCCCCATCCCTCAAGAGGTAGGTCGGGATCTCATTATAAGCCTACTAAGATGCCTCTGAGCATAAAATGGCTGTGAAGCAGCTGGCTTTTTAATTGGTGAGGGACAGGCGGAATACCAAACTCACTAACATCTGGAAATTTACCTATTTAATGTGTTAAGAAGAAGTGGACATATAGAAAAGGCTTCTGCTCCTGAGGAAAAGCTGAACCAATAGACCTGATGGCTTCCCCTCGGCTTGTCTACACTTAACGAATTATGAATGTTTCCTCAGAAGCCCCCTAGCATGCTACATGTTCAGCCATACTGCCTGGGAGAGAGAAGAACAGCTAGTTCACTTCTCCCACCCAGACACTCCCAACAATATAGGCAGGACTTGTCACTCTGACTTAAGGGGATGTACATCCAGCATTTTGAGCTCATCAGGAAGATGGTGGCAGACCTTGCAGAAAACAGCAGCTACATTTCAACATAGAGCAGCCAAAGGAATTCAAAAATAAAGTATGGAATTCACGTAGTGCCTTTTGTGGCCTCAGGGAAACCCAAAATGCTTTCCCGACAAAGTGGAACTTTTGAGGTGTAGTCGTAGTTCGAACATAGAAAAAGCAGCAGTCAATCTGTACACAGCAAGGGCCCACAAATAACAATGAAAGACATGATCGGCATAATTTGTTTTTGTATTAGTGTTGGGTAAGTACTGGATAGGATATCAGAAAGAAATAATGTTGTTTTTGAAAATATGACATTGGACTTTCAATGGCCACCTGGGCTGCCAGCCGAGGGGCTCAATTTACTTTACCTGAAAGATGGCGCCTTTTAAACACATCTTCAGTGTTGCAGCAATGCATGAGCCTGCATTATATGCTTTCACTTTAATAGAATGATTTGATCCCACTACTTCTGATTCAGGATTATGAATTAAGTCTAGCAGCAGAGCTGCACCTCACACTCCCAAACAGCAATTTCTTTATGCTTGCATTCCCTTCTTGTTGACAACAGTACTGACCTATCGAGGTGTTGGCTCAGAGCAACAAATATCATGGGGAGTGAATGGTTGGAATGACTAGGCATTTGAAATCTGGCTGGTTCTAAGTTGCATTCTGCATTGTATTCCAACATTTGTTACTTTTTTCGAAATCTCTCTCTCAACCTTAGGATAGACAAGTATAAGTGAAAGCTATTTCTATTTGACAATCAAGAGATCTTATTGAGTTAATCACAAAATCAAAAAAGCTGATTTAAAGGAAAATAACAAGAAAGGCTAATTTTCAGCTCAGCTATATTTAAAAAAAACTGATACATTGACTGATCCATCAGCATCTAAGAATGAAATTTTACACCAAAAACCAATAACCCTAAGTATAAAACTAACTGATAACTTTGATTTTCATTTAATATTTGTGCAGCGTAAAAGAACAAGAGCTCTTGTTTGTGTAACATGTCCAGCTGGGAGATTCCCAACATGGTTTGCTACCTGTTTATGAACAATTACACAACAGATTCCTCCATTAAGTTGAAGCAAAATCTGGAGCTTTTCATTTCATGTTCTACCTCAGGTACAGAAGAATTATAATATTTGACAACCTCAATTGCTCACAACATGCTAAGAAATAATTAAGCAGTATCATTTTTTGAATGTGAAGTTTCAATGTTCACTTCATTTGTCAAATGCTCCAGGATGACCTCACTTTAATGAGCAACTAAATTTTCCATGCATTGATTGTAGCAGAAATCCAATCCATATGAAATCTCAGTCAGATCAGAGTTGGAGTACTGTGTAACATTAAGAAGGATATTGAAGCAATAAAGAATAGAATTCATGTTTACTCAAGCATTTCAATAAAAAAAAGTTTGAAATACTCAACAGGTTAGACAGGATCATCTGTGAAGAGAGAAACAGAGTTAATGTTGCAGGAGTGTGCCTTTTAAATGCAAAGAGCCGGGCAAAAGTTGTAGGTTACCATTTTAGAACTGACGGCATGTGCATTTTTGTTAATTTGATACTTATTCCCTCAGTGAGTTGTCGCTGCTTCAAGCATATTTAGCACTCAGGTTGAGATGGTGTTGCTACAGGTAACCTGAACTGGATAACGGTCGGTCTAGGTAGGCTTCCTTGGCGATTTCCTGCAATTATTCTGCCCTTTCCTTTCACACAACATAACGTAATATTTGCTGCTGCATCCACGCTGAAGCAATGTCACACCACAGTTTGTGTTCTTTTCTCATGCTGTCATTAGTGGACTGGAAGGCAATAATGACAAATATGCCAATTCAAGTTTACTTAATTGTCTGAATCATAAAGCGAAATTATTAACACATGAGATTTAATGTCAACCCCCATCTTCTCTCGTACCCATTGTGAGCCAGAAAGAGCAGGAGTGATCCCTCCAACTGGTCAAGGAAGTATTCATCAATTCTACTGCTCATTGTGCCCTTCTTTCTCACACACAACGC